ATACGTATAACCGAGAGACAGGTTACAACGGCAGAACCAATAGCCGATCACCACTAGAATGAGAAAGAACCTAACTGAAGGTTCGAAATTCTCTTTCGAAATAACAGAGTGATTTGCGGACGGAAGTCACAATAACCAGACATCTGTACGCTACAGGTTAGCAGTTAAATCTCGCCTCAATATTTTCTATCCGTCCTCACGATCAAAATTCACCTCTTCTGAGGTTTGTCGGGGCCACTGGAATAAAGAGATCCAAACCTTCGCTGGGTCCGGCGGTAACTAGATAGCCTGCACTTGGTAACACAGTAGGCCATAACGTTTGTCTTGTCAGGTCACCCATCCGATTCATAATCATATGACTAACTCCGTCTTGAAAGTTGCTATAAAACATTTTTCTCCGCTTGTTTGCCTCTGTACTGATTAGACAATATGGGATGCTTCGTCTTCTCACCGCATCATTCAAACTTCTAAATGGAAATACCTGTGTTAAGTTTTAAAAAATCAGCTGACAACTCTGATAAAGCTAACCTGTGAGTTGTTCAACAGCTACAATGGTCTTACCTAAAACACGAATCGGCTCTTTTGAAGAACATTTAGTTGGGGAATATTATAAAAGTGGAGATCGAGTTGAGCTGCCAGTTAGTACCATGGCAATTTTTAGTTTGGTATTCTGGTAGAGCATAAGGTTGATGGCCTTGGTCGGGGAAGTGTGACTACATGATGAACCCCAAGAAGGATGCTTCTGTTAGGGAGTTATGGAGGAAATTTCAGTGTTAACCAGACGGTAAAACCAAGAAGTGATAGCAAGTTCGCCACTGCAGTCGATTCCTTGCCTTTTCTTGCAGGGTCTGGAACCAGGCTGAAGGAGGTTCAAGCAAATTCTACCCAGAATGACGCGAGGATTCCCTAACGTTAAACTTGACAATAGTGGTTTTCATTTCGTGTTGCCATTTCGTGGTCTGTGCTTCATGAACCGTTTGCCGCTGGAGTGGAAACCACTGCTTCCTTTGGTAGATGGTGCGAAGGTATACGTAGTATATGTCCCACTACCTTAATTCGATAAATCTTATCTGTCGTTCAGGCGCATCTGACTAATTACTTAATACTCGTTTACAAACCACCTCACTAACTAGGTGCGGCAGCCAGTTGACGCCTTTATACTACAAAGGCGGCGGTGATAAAGTATATGGGAACGTCTGAGATCTTCAAATCGGAGAGTCCAAGTATCACAATCCATAAAACATGACTGTTTGGTCGTTTTGTGGACATGGTTCTTTGATCTCAGTGTTATCCCCTCCGACGCCAAGTTGGCAAATATTGCTCGTGCCTTGGCGATATGTGCACTGTCTTCAATTGTCACAGTCCGGTCGCGATTTATGCCGCTACCAAGAGAAGTAAGCTTATCAACAAACTCAAGTGTTTCATTATGAGGTTTCAAAGGGGTGCATAGGTGTGCGGGGTTCCTGGAGTTCGAAGATGGAGACTGTATGCTGAAACACGAGACCGATTCAGATTTCCGTTCGGAGTAGTTTGTGTGGACACATGGTCGTCAAAAAACAGCATGTTATACGTCTACCAATTTTTCCCAGATAAGACTTCGACACAGTCTCTAGGATAGAACAATCCATGATAGTACTAAGGACAAAACCGAGCAAAAAATGGTGGAAGCGACGCCCCTGGCGAACTGTACTGGTTTCGAGAGAACTTCCAGACAACGAGTGGCAAACTCTGAAACAACCAAAGGTATGGGCATCAATGGCACGAAGAATATTCACAAAATTAGAGGAGAATCATCGTTAACCAGGTATATACAGGGCAGTCGAAGGTTCCTTTGTAGTGAGAGAAAACATTCACAGCTAGTCGGCGGTATGTGTGACGCTTTTGGAACGCTTGAAACAGTGTGGAGATGTGGTCACTGAACCTCGAAAGCATGGATCTGTGGTCAACGTTTCGAGATATCGGGGCCCACAGATATCTTACCCTCCAATTCAGATATTTCTCAGAATCCAACTCCTGGAGGAGGTTTTTTGTCACTTCATCCTTTGAGTTAAACCATGTTTAGCCGATAGATTTTATCTTTGATTCGCGAGCTTCTTGACCTGTCGATATCACTTCGGAAAAACCATTTCACTGACTAGAATAAATGCAATTAGTTTTGCACTTCCAAAGTCCTACTTCCCCTCAACTCCGACCGACCAGACCGTTGCGTAGAAGTATGTCAAAGTATGCTAGTGCGACACACTGTCATCAATCGTGGTGGCGATCGACTTACTAGTGATCTAGCCAGTTACTAAACTTATCGTGGTTCAATTCTGCTTCCACCTTCAAAGTCAGGCTCCTGTGTGTGAATCGATCGGCTGACTTTGTCTGAGCTGTTAATGGCAGGGCCTTAAGCATTGTAGTCTGCCAACGTCGTGTCTCTAGACTGTTGGTCAAAGAACTCACGATGCTCACGTGTTTGATTTATGAGCTTACGTCTCATGTCAGACGTATGGTCAATAAGTCCATTAGGCGTGCCATTTTACTGTCAAGTAGAGAATTGTGTAGATAAAAGTGGAGCTAAGTGCACTGATTCAACAGAAAACCAGCGAGCTTGTCATTCGACCAGCAAGGCCAGTCGAACAAAAGGTCCTGATGTCGACATCAAAACTCGGTTGTAGATCGGACATATTTGTGGTAAACAACTCAATGATACGTTGCTTCACCAATCAGACCGTGCGTCGTGCAGCAAACCGCTCAGATTCACATGGAAAGCTCTGGGTCAATAGTTGGACTTGTCTCATTGATGAACGCTACGGGATGATGCGTATAAGCAGATACCTAACTAATCATCATCATCATCATCATCAACAACAACAACAACAATAATAATAATAACAACAACAACAACAGTTTTCACAACACCCAGATATCATCATGCTGCTAAACAATTCATGAGTATCGCAGGTGATAATGATTTACACTACCAAAGAAAACCATCTTTCAGTGAGATGTTAACTCCACCATGCTTCCTCATGAAAAATATGGAACTTGAAGGGAAATGATTGTATGCTAAACCTGTCCGCCGAACGCGAACCATCAAGAAAAAGCCTCCCAGGAAAGGAATAGTGTACTCTTAAGTGGAGTGAACAACAGACATTTGTTCGTCAACTTTCTATGTTATTCCCATTGCCAAACAGGCTAGCTCCAAACTTCCAATGAGTTCAAGATTTTGTTCTCCGACTGCATATTTTACCCGGAAGCCCAGTAACCTATCTACTTTAGTGGTGATCCACTCATACCATCTTTAACTGGTGAGCAGGTTCCCCGATAGTGAGAAAAGATAAGTCGGTACCGCTGTATTGATAGAAGTCGGTTTGAAGATACTTGTTGTATTTTACTCGTAGTCAAGGATTTTATTATGCCCTCAGTGTATGAAAACCCAGCACTAAGATCTCGCTCACAAAGGTTCAGTGCATTTCTGATAACTGCGGTTTCTACATTTCGGGCATAACCCTAAAGTGAAACGGCGATCCTGTCAATAATTTAAAACGCAACAAAATCTAGATGAGTAACTGATTCTATTTGGTGAAATCGCCTGGACTGCGTGACCGTCAACTCAGTAACGAACGAGGCCTGTCCGTTTACAGTGGATTAGTATGCTTACAATTCCACTTTCCGAAAGGGTCTGGGGCCTAGTGACGGTAAGGTGCCATACGGATAATATTCTCATCGCTAAGAGGCCGCTAACCCAGGATCCACTCAAACTCACTAACCCAACAGTTTTAAGCTGAATATGTAGGACAGGGGGGAAGAAAAATGGATGACGCCGCGAGGCCTGATTTCTGGGACCGGCTAAGTCAATAAAGTCACCTCGCTTTTATTGTCGTTAACCCAAATCAATCTTATCACGTAACGACAGAATGTCACAGCATTTTCTTACTTCTGTGCACGAAGACATGCATTTGAAATGGAACGACTTGTATAATTAGCTGCCCAATGGACTTTGATTGAGTATCAGCGGTGATAATACAGCAGTTCCCCAAAAGAGGTGCATGCGAAGAGAACCCGCTGATCTGGAGTGTGCAGTATGATTGCTCGTCATCTAACTTCTGAGAGAGACTGGCCCCCCCACTTCCCCCCGGATGTCGAAGAAAACCCTTGACTGAAGTGTTCTTCACTGAAAATGTTGCATTGGAAAAGCTGTCTGCGAATGTAGGTAGAATACGGATACAGGATTGAGTGCTTCACGAACTGAACTGCTTGAAAACATTCGCACGTGACAAGTGAAATCGGTTACATTAGAAAGTTAAAACTGCGACTGAGTTGGTTCAATTGATTGCACCAAGTGCCTGTGGTGTCCTGATTCCCCAGCAAATGCTCTCCTAGATGTTGTGACACTATGGGTTCAAACTACAACCAGCCACTAAGGCAACACGGCTGATAACACAGCCAATGCCAACCGAATTCCTTTCTCAAAAAATCTACTCTCTGTTAGCTCATTGGTGTTCAGCAGAAGCTACTATGCCAGTATAGTGTGAGTCAACCGAGGTCGCCAGAGAACAAATAGCTCAAACATTCGAATGTGATGCCCGGATTCGGCTAGGCGATTATCAACAAAACAGTTAGATCCTCGGTACAACTCGTTATGTCTGGTAAAAGTAGGGCATCCTTTTATTCAAGAACCACTTTCGAGTGCGGCTTATTACTGGACCTGAGCTTGTTGCCCCCTTTACTTGGACAATCAAACAGCAAGGCAGTTTCTGCGTTCTTTGGCTAGACAACGGTGGCTACGACAGTTTGGGTGAACAAAGTAAGCTACGGTACGTATGAGTTGATTTTTGATCAAACATTCTCTTGCGTAGATTTGATAGTAAGAAACCGAGTAAGAACTCTCCATATTGACGAGAGATCACGATATCTGAATGTAAACTACCGAAAAAATAACGAAGTGAGTCGGAATATCCCTGCTTACGTGGCAAACAGATATGACAGAATTTTATATATATCATGTATTTGAATGTCAGTCGTCAAGGCCGATCCGTCAAGCAATTACGACTTCCGACAACTTCGCAACGAGCTCAGTGAAAACAGTTAAAAAAATGGGTAAGACGCACGTTTGCTGGAAAGAATTCACAGGTTCTATACAGGCACATGATGACGGTGATGAGAGAGAGCCAGTCCCAAAATTGGGTGAGTATGTACAAGAAGAAAAAGGTCCAGTCCCGTCAAATAAATCAATTGATCACATCAGTCACACTGTTCAAAGCCCGATTTTAAGACTGCAGATTCATCTTCGTCTAGAAAAAGTTCAGCTGCCGCTGACAAGGCAGGTGTGCAGGCCCTGTTGACGTCTGGATTGCGAGATGAATTGGCTATAATGGATTGGTGTAAGTCGTCCGTGGCTGCGTCGTAAATCAAGTCATTCTCGTGATCGTCTAATGGAATCTCAATAGCTTCCTCGATAACTTGTTCTTCTCCTATCATAACGTGTTCCAGTGAGTCGCTCAGCGTCAACTTAGCTCCATCTGGTTGGCAAAAACCATTGATTCGGTGTAGCTTGTTAGTCGAATCAATATCGCCACAACCGTTGTTCATTACGACCATGTGGGACCGGTTGTCGAAATACGCATCATTGCGACTATACTTGGCAGCATGCTCTGAGGGGATGGACGCGTGGGTCAAGTCGTGTATGCCAAAATCGCCCATGATGCCCTCATCACACGAGAGTAGATTTGAACAATCCTGTAAAACATGAGAAGTAGATGCAAGCACATTTGTTTGTACCTCACTCGTCTCGAATTCGTCACTGCTAAAACAACAAGACTGTTCCTAAAAAAGCTTCCCTCATATGACATTAATTTAGCGTTCAGTTTGAAAATCCTTTGAGAAAAATGAACAAGGAAGGGAAACCGAAATATTGGGTGCCACTTAAAACACTGGTAGCTGATCAATCGGCCTGTTCGTCGAGCTTGAAAACTGCTTTGCAAATGCCTCGTCACCATATGGGGAAACACATTAAGATGCAAAAACTGTCTCTCGTATGACGAGGAAATGCTTGTAAGCCGAATGCCAAGCTGGGCGAACAGACCAACTACCTCTACTAAACAATGAGTAATTGAGCCCCAAGAAGGGCAAAACCGGTCGTGGGCTGTCGAAGAGCTTTCAGCAGCCTTGTGAGTGGTTTCCTTTATGAAAATGAGTAATTTTGTTATGGTTTACCCTTAGTTCGAATTTTGGCTGGCATTTCAAGATATGGGGCTCAGGGCAATGCGCATATTTGTCAGGTACTCCAAACTCAGAAAGGTGTTACCATAATCTTTCACTCATCGAATGGAAGGAAGCACGTGAACCTAAGGGACCATAATGGTCGGTTGCCGGTATATATGAGGTTGCCCTAAGCTCCGCTGGAGAGTAAAGAAATGGATATACATCTCAGTCCTACTGCACCACAACTTTCCTAAATCTGTACCCCTGTCTACGAAAATTACATTTCTTCAACTGAGTGCTTGACAAAAATCTGCAGTACGCGTTGCACTTAACTTTCTTGAATTGACATTAGGAGTTTTTTGCAAGACTAAAAATGCTCAGTCTATTTGGGCAAATACTGTTGAGCATCATCATCATCATCATCAACGACAGCATGACATCAGTGCTCAACACCGATGCTTCACTGCCGTACAACCATGACTTATTTGAAAGCCTTATTGTAAAGAAAAGAATAAAGGTGGATGGGCGAGGGAATTAGTGCTAGCTTAACACAATCATTCCGAGGTGCCTACACCTCCAGACATTCACTCAGGCAATCTGGATAGAAACTGACAACAAGAACGCCACTGACATCGGTTGGCAGCCATATCTTGTAGTGTCTCCAACCAGGCACAGTAAGGATCACGCGGTCTCCATCCTGGAAGGCGAGTAGCACCGACAGCACCCAAGCGTTTCGTCATCTCCTTCATACTCCTCTGCCAGGTCATGGGTTGGCCACCTCTCTGTTTACGCCACTCCGAATTGGGCATGGAAAACAATACTCTCTTCGGCATGCGTAAAACATGTCCCAACCAACACAGCTTCTG